CCACATAATGCAAACTAGTGCTGTCTCGTAAGAATTTCGTAGGACGCGTTGAGAATGATAAAATATTCTCTGTATCTACTGGAACCGAGCCACAGCTTGTATTCCACTATTTGCATTTACACCTGGGCTGTGTATATATATTGCCTTGGTTTGGCTCTGTAATCATTAGTGGTCGTGGGACTAGTTTGGGCCCTACCTAAGCTGGTCGAACGTTTCGTTTGGGTCTATACCCTAGCTGTGATGAGGCCTGGAAGGCCGAAACGGATCCGTCTGCAGATATTGGGATTCTTTCCAGTGGATACTTAGTTTATTTTGTCATTCTGATCAGATTTTCTCTACTGTTCCGTTTTAATTATATATATAGTCCTACATATGTGTATGTATATATATGCCATCTGTCTAAGGAAGATGAATATAACAATATTCAGCTAAATCAACGTCTTGATTTGAACAAGACGTCAGTTTCGACCGGATACGACACTAAACACGAGGCTTACATGTGTGCATAGTATCATGATGCTTGTCGACTGTGTAATCAAGCCAGCACGGGAACCTGTCGTCAAATGCTGAGCCCTGTTACTGACTTCAGTAGCGCAATCCCTATACACAATTTTATCGGGTCTATTTTCAAACAGTACCAACACCAACGTCTCACAACTTTTCATTGGGGGACATCCAGTAGCCTAGCCGGAGCATATTTCGTTTTCCCAGACATATATTCTTTTGAGTACTTAAACAACCAAACAATTTCTTTGGATTTTATTTTCAAAAACTATAGTTTCAGGCCTTTACAACAACAAGGTCGTGCACAATTCACAGGACACAGATAAACACTGGTAATGACGTACAGTGTACGGTAATGCGTAGGCTTCTGGATCCCCCCCCCCCCAGTGGTTTTCAGACCCTCAGAAATGTTCATTTCAAATTAAGCAAAAATGGTGTACAGAGCAGTGAGATAGTTATGTATTTAACGGCGTTCCATTATTTCACTGTTTTCGCACGTCTGTAACGTGTCATGGCAAATATTTATACCGTAAAAACCTCGAATTGAAGCCTAAATGGCCTTAATCCCGAGTTTTGGTTTGCAAAATTAGCATAAAAGAGAAGCCAATTGGCTTCTTTTCAAGATAGAATAGGCTTCTTTTCGAGATTGTACAGTAAGCCACATACAATTTACATGAATTTCAAAAAAGAAAATAAATTAAAACAACATTTGCAACATAATTTTGGGTCAACAAGCAATAATATCAATAAGCAATATACATGTATATACGTAAGATTCTAATGCTTATGTACTGTATGTTGCATTACATATTTTTTATACTGACTAATCGATGTCTCGTAACTATATATCTTTTACTTAAACATTTTTAAACTTTATTTTATATTAACTTTATTTAGGCATATGTGTATATTGAACTTTGGAAAAAGAATTTTATATAAAAATTTGTGTGTCAATAAAGAGAGACTTGAACTTGAATATACTACAACGCTTTGAAATAGCAAAGAATGCCTATCTGTCTACAAAATTGTTTTACAGTGAATTTCACTTCAAGTGTATGCCAAAGGACTAATTCCAATTTAAATTTTTAATAAGTAAATATTTACTCTTATTAGCAGGGGTGCAGCCAGAGGGGGGTCAAAGGGGGCCCTTACCCCTTAACATTTTAAAAGTATCCCAATTATAGTAGTAAATGAATCGGTAATGTGAAAATATATAATATATGAAATGTAAGTCACCCTCTTTCTATTATGATTTACAGAATAACTGTGACCCGTGAATTCTGTTCTTATAATAATAATTAAAGTTCAAATTAAAAACATTTTATTACAATCATAGTAACTCTCTGGTTACCCGTATCGAGGTAGCAAATGGAAACGCTGTAACTTATTACAGTATTGTTTGGTATAAATGATCAGAGAAGAGTTAAATTTAACCTCCCTATGCGACCAGCTCCCGTAAGCGATCATCTCCCTTAACGTCCACTCTCATATAGTCCCGTTTGTTCTCCCTATCTAATTAGTGCATTTGACCTCCCGTAAGACACTGCACCACCTCCCGATTTTTTTTACTTTGGGATTTTTCTTATGATTTACCTCCCGTAAGCGACCACCTCAAAAGTTTGAACTATCTGTTGACAATAAGCCTAAATACAATCATATCTAACAAGTCGAATCGAAAGTTAGACGCTGTGATGGTGCACTGTTATCGTCAACCTAACATTATAGGCTTAAGCGACATAATGAAAATACATAAAAGCGATAGATAAATAGGGCTACGCTTTCTCTCGTCCAAGAAAATGCTTGCAGTAGGCATATAGCAAAGAATACTTTGATCTGTGTAGTAGGTAATAGAACAATATGCCTGCTTTTACGACCTATTTAAAAATAAGCCTTCATCGGAGGTTCATGATTATAAAATTATCACCATTTGTTGTTGCAAAGAGTGAAATCTTACGCCAAATATATTTTTCTGTTTACAAATTGCGATCAGGCTGATTTAAAAAAAAAAAGAAATTAACGTAATATCGAAAATTTTCAGGGGGCCGCCGCACAGTGGGCCAGAATCAATTCAAAGTGTGCCAAAAGTCGAAAATAGGTAATGTTTCAACTTCAACTTTTAAAGGTTGTTTGAGGTCGAGAACATCCTAAATTATATTAATCCACCAATAATTTCATATTTAGTGAATTTTCATAGTGTGATATAACCATGTAAACATGAAAAAGTTGTATTTTACTCGTAAAATGATAAAATTGACATTTTTGAAAAACTCTCTATGACTTTACTTAGATGAAAGCAGTCAACTTGATACTTCTTGCAGTATTTGCCTATTGTTAACTAAATTAGATAGTAAAATAAAAAATGACATTATTGTTATATTTTTAGAATAAAGGACATTAAATATGAACCAAAACCGCTTAAAAACATTTTTTTCATAAAACCAACTTAAAAGTTAGAATTGCCGGCGATTTTTGTCATGCTTTTGACATCAACATTTCTGGCAGAGCCTAAGCTTTACGTTAATGCCAAGTTTAGCTGCCAATATCTGCCACCCTGCATTTAGCAAGCTATTTAATATACCCCCCCCCCCTACAAAAGCGCAATTTTTTAATTAAGGTATACGATAAAATAATTCCTGCAGCCATTGGGTGCCAAATGTAAAAAAAAGTACACTCGATTTCCAGTGTCATATCTAGGAGTAAATTGGGGAGGGAGATCATTGGTGGATCTGGAGGGGTCAGGGTCCTGACCACACCCCCTTGGACAAAAACATTAAATAAATAAATATTTAAAAAATAATTCTAGACTTACATTTCCAGGACCCGTAAGCTGATTATTGAATTTTGTGTTACAATTGGACAATTAAATGTCGGAACTGCTCAATCAAAATTTTGATGGGGGAGGACCCCGTTTCAAAAAAAAAAAAAAAAAGAAAAGAAAAGAAAAGAAAAGAAAAAAAAATGCGTAAGCAATTAATCATATTTATACCTCTACACACTGTATTAAAAATCAGAAAAATTTACCTGACCGTTTTCAATAGGGTAAACCTTGATTTTGTTTTTATTAAAGGTCATTAAAAGATACTTCAGGAGTCTGAAAAGCTCACTTCCCGCAATCTAGGAATCAAACTTTTGCAGGGGCTAACATTATTCTGCCTCTCCCCCGGTTCCTTCTTAGGGTTCATTGATTCATTAAAAAACGTCAAAAGAGGGAAACCAAAATTTCAGAAGTTGAGAAAACCCGTTTCCCGACATATAGAAAACACATTTTTCCGGGGAGGACCTCGACCCCCTTTCATTTTGAGGTCAATTATTCTAGGAATCTTTTTTTTTTTCGAAACTTTCTCTTTTGTTTTTATTTTATTATTTATTTTTTTTAAACATTTTGACTCCATCCTAAATCTGAAGCCAAATTGCCTCTGGAGATTATAAGGGCACCCCAAGGTGAGTGATGGGATGAAGTGGGACCGCTCATTTAATTTCTTTTTTTCATTTATTTATTTAGCATCCATTAAAATAAAACAATTATTGCTCACGCCAATTATAGCGATATTCGATAAATTCAGTCTGTTTGACCGTGATCCTTTGTGCTTATTTTCACTGGTGAGGGCTGACTGATGGGGTGGACGCGGACAAATGGGGTACTGCAGGTGTCTTTTTAACACTCCACCTTCCACCCTTTTCTTTGAAGAAATGTATTTTAATAATGTCACATAAAGTGTAAAATGTTCTAATTTGAATTTGCCGGTCTAGAAACCCTCATTCGTGCCATACTGAGCTCTGGCAAGTTATTCTGTCTAGATCTTAAATTTTACGTCGTCAAATAAAAAAAAAATACTTTAATGACGTCATACATATTTAAATATGCTTGCGTTGAAATCTACAGGTTAGAAAACCCCTCATATGTTCTAATAACCAAGGTAATATGAATCTGCCTAGGTATTACAATGAATATTTTATTCATCCAATCAAAAAACAGTAATTTGATGACGTCATACATACTTAAAAATAGTTTAATTGAATTCAGCAGGTTTGAAAACCCCTTAAACAGTCTTAACATGAACATAATCAGTATTTTCTTATGAGTATTGACTTTTGGCACACTTTGAAACAATTCTGGCCCACTGTGCGCCGCTCCGTAGAAGCCGAAAAACATCAAATCAAGTAATTTAAGTGGTGCTATGAACT